TGTTGGGTGCATAAATATTTACAATTGTTATATCGTCTTCTTGGATTGATCCTCCCTTGATCATTATGTAGTGTCCTTCTTTGTCTCTTGTAATAGTCTTTGTTTTAAAGTCTATTTTGTCTGATATGAGAATTGCTACCCCAGCTTTCTTTTGATTTCCGTTTGCATAGAATATCTTGTTCCATCCCCTCACTTTCAGTCTGTATGTGTCTCTAGGTCTGAAGTGGGTCTCTTGTAGACAGCATATATACGGGTCTTGTTTTTGTATCCATTCAGCCAGTCTGTGTCTTTTGGTTGGAGCATTTAATCCATTTACATTTAAGGTAATTATCGATAAGTATGTTCCTATTACCATTTTCTTAATTGTTTTGGGTTTGTTATTGTAGGTCTTTTCCTTCTGTTGTGTTTCCTGCCTAGAGAAGTTCCTTTAGCATTTGTTGTAAAGCTGGTTTGGTGGTGCTGAATTCTCTTAGCTTTTGCTTGTCTGTAAAGGTTTTAATTTCTCCGTCAAATCTGAATGAAATCCTTGCTGGATAGAGTAATCTTGGTTGTAAGTTTTTCCCTTTCATCACTTTAAATATATCCTGCCACTCCCTTCTGGCTTGCAGAGTTTCTGCTGAAAGTTCAGCTGTTAACCTTATGGGGATTCCCTTATGTGTTATTTGTTGTTTTTCCCTTGCTGCTTTTAATATGTTTTCTTTGTATTTAATTTTCGATAGTTTGATTAATATGTGTCTTGGCATGTTTCTCCTTGGATTTATCCTGTATGGGACTCTCTGTGCTTCCTGGACTTGATTAACTATTTCCTTTCCCATATTAGGGAAGTTTTCAACTATAATCTCTTCAAATATTTTCTCAGTCCCTTTCTTTTTCTCTTCTTCTTCTGGGACCCCTATAATTTGAATGTTGGTGTGTTTCATATTGTCCCAGCGGTCTCTGAGACTGTCCTCAATTCTTTTCATTCTTTTTTCTTTATTCTGCTCTGCAGTAGTTATTTCCACTATTTTATCTTCCAGGTCACTTATCCGTTCTTCTGCCTCAGTTATTCTGCTATTGATCCCTTCTAGAGAATTTTTAATTTCATTTATTGTGTTGTTCATCACTGTTTGTTTGCTCTTTAGTTCTTCTAGGTCCTTGTTAAACGTTTCTTGTATTTTCTCCATTCTATTTCCAAGATTTTGGATCACCTTTACCATCATTTTTCTGAATTCTTTTTCAGGGAGACTGCCTATTTCCTCTTCATTTGTTAGGTCTGGTGGGTTTTTACCTTGCTCCTTCATCTGCTGTGTGTTTCTCTGTCTTCTCAATTTGCTTAACTTACTATGTTTGGGGTCTCCTTTTCGCAGGCTGCAGGTTCATAGTTCCCCTTGTTTTTGGTGTCTGCCCCCAGTGGCTAAGGTTAGTTCAGTGGGTTGTGTAGGCTTCCTGGTGGAGGGGACTAGTGCATGTGTTCTGGTCGATGAGGCTGGATCTTGTCTTTCTGCTGGGCAGGTCCACGTCTGATGGTGTGTTTTGGGGTGTCTGTGACCTTATTATGATTTTAGGCAGCCTCTCTGCTAATGGGTGGGCTTGTGTTCCTGTCTTGCTAGTTGTTTGGCATAGGGTGTCCGGCACTGTAGCTTGCTGGCCGTTGAGTGGAGCTGGGTCTTGGCATTGAGATGGAGATCTCTGGGAGATTTGTGCCATTTGATATTACGTGGAGCTGGGAGGTCTCTGGTGGACCAATGTCCTGAACTTGGCTCTCCCGCCTCAGAGGCACAGCCCTGATGCCTGGCCAGAGCACCAAGAGCCTTTCATACACACGGCTCAGAATAAAAGGGAGAAAAGAAAGAAAGAAAAAGATAAAATAAAATAAAGAGTTACTAAAATAAAAACCAAAAAATTATTAAAAAATTTTTTAAGTAATTAAAATAAAAGAAAGAAAAAGAACAACCAAACCAAATTCACCAATGATAACAAGCATTGAAAACTATACTAAAAACAAAAAACAAAAACAAACAAAAAAATGGCCAGACAGAACCCTAGGACAAATGGTAAAAGCAAAGCTATACAGACAAAATCACACACAGAAGCATACGCATACACACTCACAAAAAGAGAAAAAGGGAAAAAATATATATATATATATCGTTGCTCCCAAAGTCCACCTCCTCAATTTGGGATGATTTTTTTGTCTATTCAGGTATTCCACAGATGCAGGGTACATCAAATTGACTGTGGAGATTTAATCCGCTGCTCCTGAGGCTGCTGGGAGAGATTTCCCTTTCTCTCCTTTGTTCGCACAGCTGCTGGGGTTCAGCTTTGGATTTGGCCCCGCCTCTGCATGTAGGTCGCAGGAGGGCGTCTGTTCTTCGCTCAGACAGGACGGGGTTAAAGGAGCAGCTGACTGGGGGCTCTGGCTCACTCAAGCCGGAGGGAGGGAGGGGTGCGCATGCGGATTGAGCCTGCGGTGGCAGAGGCCGGCGTGACGTTGCAGCAGCGTGAGGCGCGCCGTGCGTTCTCCCGGGGGAGTTGTTCCTGGATCCCGGAACCCTGGCAGTGGCGGGCTGCACAGGCTCCCCGGAAGGGAGGTGTGGACAGTGACCTGTGCTCGCACACAGGCTTCTTGGTGGCGGCAGCAGCAGCCTTAGCGTCTCATGCCCGTCTCTGGGGTCTGCGCTTTTAGCCGCGGCTTGCGCCGTCTCTGGAGCTCCTTTAAGCGGCGCTCTGAATGCCGTCCCCTCGCTCACCGGGAAACAAAGAGGGAAGAAAAAGTCTCTCGCCTCTTCGGCAGGTCCGGACTTTTCCCCGGACTCCCTCCCGGCTAGCCGTGGAACTCTAGCCCCCCTCAGGCTGTGTTCATGCAGCCAACCCCAGTCCTCTCCCTGCGCTCCGACCGAAGCCCGAGCCTCAGCTCCCAGCCCCCGCCCGCCCTGGCGGGTGAGCATTCAAGCCTCTCGGGCTGGTGAGTGCTGGTCGCACCGATCCTCTGTGAGGGAAACTCTCTACTTTGCCCTCTGCACCCCTGTGGCTGCGCTCTCCTCCGCGGCTTCGAAGCCTCTCTCCTTCGCCACCTGCAGTCTCCGCCCGTGAAGGGGCTTCTAGTGTGTGAAGACCTTTCCTCCTTCACAGCTCCCTCTTTTGTCTCTGTTTTTTCTTTTTTCTTTTGCCCTACCCAGGTATGTGGGGGGTTTCTTGCCTTTTGGGAGGTCTGAGGTCTTCTGCCAGCGTTCAGTGGGTGTTCTATAGCAGCAGTTCCACGTGTAGATGGATTTCTCATGTATCTGTGGGGAGGAAGGTGATCTCCGCGTTTTACTCTTCCGCCATTTTGAAGCTCCTCCTCGCTGCATTGGGTCTTAATTGCTGGGTGCGGGCTTTCTCTAGTTGTGGCGAGCAGGGGCCACTCTTCTTTGCGGTGCGCAGGTTTCTCATTGGGGTGGCTTCTCTTGTTGCAGAGCACGGGCTCTAGGTGCACGGGCTTCAGTAGCTGTGGCCCGTGGGCTCTAGAGCACAGGCTCAGTAGTTGTGACGCACGGGTTTAGTTGCCCCGCAGCATGTGGGATCTTCCCGGACCAGGGCTCGAACCCGTGTCCCCTGCATTGGCAGGCGGATTCTTAACCACTGCGCCACCGGGCAAGTCCCTAAATAGACTTAATCTTTTAAGAACAAGTTTTAGAATCACAGCAGAATTGAGCCGAAAGTACAGAGAGTTCCCACACACCCACTGTGCACACACGCACAGCCTCCCCCACTATCAACATCCCTCACCAGAGTGCCATGTTTGTTGCAGTCAGTGACACATCATAATTACCCAAAGTCCAGAGTTTACATTAGGGTTCACTCTTGGCATTGTACATTCTGTGGGTTTTGACAAATGTGTAATGACATATCTGCCACTATAGTGTCCTACAGAATAGCTTCCCTGCCCTAAAAATCCTCTGTGCTCTTCATATTTATCCCTCCCCATCACCCCAGCCCCTGGCAACCACTGATCTTTTTACTCCATAGTTTTGCCTTTTCCACAATGTCATAGAGTTGTGATGAAACAGTACGTAGGCTTTTCAGATTGGCTTCATTCTCTTCGTAATACGCACTTAAAGGTCTTCTGTATCTTTCCATGGCTTGATAGCTCATTTCTTTATTGCACTGAGTAATAGTCCATTGTCTAGATGTACTACAGTACATCCATTCACCTACTGAAGGACATCTTTGTTGTTTCCAAGTCTGGAATTGATTTTTTTATACCTAAATGTAGGACTTTATGGCTTTCCCTAGTTTCATTTTGTTGATTTCCTCCTATGGTTATTACCTATTGAGATCTTTTTGAATTTTAATTCTGTGATGCTATATCCTTAGAAGGCATGCTCATTAAAATCAGAGATGAAACAAAGTTGGTGGGAATGGCTGTATCAGTTGAGTATACTGGGAGGCAGTTCAGGAGTGAAGCATGCTGGGACTAGGAAGCAACATGGTGGCCAGTGGGACAGGTCTGGTCTGCTCTGGTTTGGATGCAAGACGAGGCCGGGGGAAGCCAGGGAATGGTCAAGATAGTGGGATATTACCAGGGCTAATGTAGCTTCTGTCTTATATAATTCCAAGAGGCTCTGATTTTTAGAGCAAGAATGTGATGCAGGTTTAAGGAGCAAGATACTTAGGCTTGGGGACGCTGTTGAGAGCTGAACGGCGTATCCGGTCCTCCTTGCCATGTAGAGTGAATTTCATAGGAAGAGCCTAAGAGATACAAACTAAGCAAGGAAACTACCACGTCAGATGCCAAACTTGGTTGTCAGCACAATTTAACCCAAGACCCGCATGCCGACTTGAGCCCAGTTTTAGTAACGATTGACTGAAAAATCAGGGTATGGTTGGGTCTCAATGAATAGGACCAACCTCAGGGATCTGAAGTGGGCAAAGGAGAAATAATGTGGGCTTTGGCAGTGCCTGTAGCCCTGTCATGACTAGAAATATTTAATTGAATACTTGGCTACTTCCCTTAGGAATCTTTTTTCTTCTCCCCTCAGCTGCAGGTGTACTCTCCCAGAGAACCCAAACAATCACACCTTACAGTACTGGAAGGACCACAACATCGTGACAACAGAAGTCCACTGGGCCAACCTGACTGTTAGTGTAAGTCTGGGTGCTGCCAGGCGGCTCGGTCTTGTGACCACCAGGTTTAAGGGGACCTTCTAGGTAGGAGTGGGGTAGCCCTTCAGCAAGCTCTGGCATTTACAGAAATAAAGCTTTTTTTAAACTATTCTTACTGACTTTCCTTTCCCCTTCAAAATTCTCTCTGCATAAAGGGAAAGGAGGACTACCTCTCTCTTCTCTCCCACACGATCCCACCCAGTGACCCTGCACTCAGGATGTGGGCGGATGAAATCAGAGAGGGTAGGGGGCCACATCCAGGTTTTGTGGGGCTCGAAGAACATTCAAGTTTGGAAGTCCTCTGTAATAGAAATAATACAGATTACTAGGGCCCTCCTAGAACCTCGTGTTTTCTTGAGACAGTTTGGTTTCCTTTACAAAAGTGTTTTAGTTAGGACTCTAAGTAGTCACCCTTACCTGCAAGCAAGAGCCCCACAACTACATGGAGGGCAAGTAGATGCTGCAGGCAGCCTGAGCTTCCCAGCAGCCGTGGGATGACGGTGCTGGTGGACTCAGCAGCTGTGTCCTCCCTCCTGCCTGCCTTTCATCACCCGGAATGCCTGTTCCTTCAGGAGTGCCAGGAGATGCATGGAGAGTTCACGGGCTCTGTGTGTGGCCACCATGGACCCTATACTCCCGATGTGCTCTTTTGGTCCTGCATTCTATTCTTCACCACCTTCATCCTCTCCAGCACCTTGAAGACATTTAAGACAAGCCGCTATTTCCCAACCAGAGTAGGTAGCACGCTCTTGCATTTCTTTCGTGTTAGACTTCTAATATAACAGAGCCTGTTCTAGGCCTCCGTGGTGCTTGTGAGTGGATTGGCAGGCGCCGAGCTCCAAATGACCTGATTTTGGAGGGCGTGGCCTTCTCTTCTTCCTGTGTCCAGCAGCCTCTTTCATAGATGTGTGGTGTGGGATGAGGGGTTAATACTTAAGAGGTTTTGATTGAAAAGTGTCAGGTGAGTTTAAGGTGGTCATCGTGTTCTCTAAGAGTGATAAGTCTCATTTCCAGCCTGCTGGGGCAGGTAGCGAGCAGCAGCTGGAGCTGGCTCCTGAAGATAGTAAATTGGGATGATTGCTTGAGGTGTGTGTAGGGGACCCCAGAGTCTCCTCCCTGGGATGGCTCTGGCAATAGCTTATGAAATCGCTGACTTGGTCTGCATGACGGTTTGAAGCCTCAGCCGTCTCTCCCTGACGCAGATGGCATTATTTGTGTCGTGACTCGTTTGGGCAGGGTGGAATTAGAGGCCAAGCGTAGCGTGGCTAAAGGGGTCTTTGCTTTGAGGAGGAGATCAATCAGGAGGAAGTGGCGGTTTTTCTGCGTGTGCGAGTCTTCAGTTGGGCGCCTTTGCAGAGCAGGATGTATGAATGGGTGAGGGCTCAGTGGCTGAGGCATTTACTGTGCACACGTTCACGATGAAAACACAGTCTCAGACGTCAGTCAGCCTGCACAGTGGTTAAGGGAGGCACGTATGGAGTAAGTTCTGGGGCGTGTTTCCGGTCTGGACGAACTGTGAACAAGTGGCAGCTGTGTACTGACTACTTGCTCAGGCCCGGGTCGAGTGCTACGGGGGATGCAGAAGAAGTTTAAAATATGACTTCTGTAACATACACGCTACTATATACAAAATAGATTAAACAACAAAGACCTACTGTAGAGCTCAGGGAACTCTACTCCGTATCTTGTAATAATCTATAACGGAAAAGGATCTGAAAAAGAATATATATATGGAACTGAATCACTTTGCTGTACACCTGAAACATTGTAAATCAACTCTCCTTCAATAAAAAAATAATAAATAATAAAACAAACTGTAAAACATGTGAATTGTATCTCAATAAAGCTATTATATGATTTTAAAAAATATATGGTCCCTGCCGTCAGATAGGAAAGGGAAACCCATGAAGCAACCATGCCCATAGGAGACAGTAGTAAATAGTTAGATGCCATAAGGGCCATAGGAGTTCAGAGGAGAGACGGGCCCTGGGCCCCAGGCTGGTCAGGATGGGCTTCACGGTGGGGCAGCTACATTTTCAGAGAATTTATGTAACATTCAGAGGAGAACTAACAAAACCAGGGAAAGGGAGCTGGAAACCTCAGGTTTCAAAGGAAAGCAAAGTCAGATGAAGGTGTCAGTGATGTTACATGGGGCTAAGATATATTTGGTTCTGTCTCGTTGGAAGTTCGGATTAAGGTGGGCACTGGGCATTTGAGGGGCATTGTATTTTATTAAAGCTACACTAAACTGTAGAGTGGGAGAGTCAGTCCCCTAAGGGACAAAATGGTGATAAGTGCTATGGAGAAAAATAAAGTAGGAAAGGAGTACAGGAAGTGCTGGGATGGAGGGTGGTGACCACTTTTAAGGAGGAGCATCAGAGAAGATCCGATGGGGAAGGTGATATTTGAGTGAACGTGAAAGAGGGAGCTACCCACAGGGTTACCTGGAGGGAAAGCAGTTGAGGCAGAGGGATGAGCAAGTATAAAGGCCCTGAGGTGGGAGTGAGTCTGGCGTGAGTAAGAAACAGCAAGGAGGTCTGTGTGGCTGGAGCAGAGTGAGTGAGCCAGGGAGCGTGGGGAGCTGGGTCAGAGCAGTAAAGATGCCAGTGCATGCGGGCCTCACAGACCAAGAAGGGCTCTGGGTTTTTTAATTCAGTGAAATGAGGAGCCATTTCAGGGTTTGGGTAGAGGAGTGATGTGATCTGACTTGTGTTTTGAATGATCACTCCAGCGGCTTTATTTTTTTTCATTAATTTTAAAAAATTTATTTATTTATTTATTTTTGGCTGCATGGGGTCTTCGTTGCTGCACGTGGGCTTTCTCGAGTTGCGGAGAGCAGGCTCTAGGCGTGCAGGCTTCAGTAGTTGTGGCGCGTGGGCTCAGTAGTTGTGGCTCACAGGCTCCAGAGCGCAGGCTCAGTAGTTGTGGTGCACGGGCTTACTTGCCCCGCGGCATGTGGGATCTTCCTGGACCAGGGCTCGAACCCGTGTCCCCTGCATTGGCAGGCAGATTCTTAACCACTGCGCCACCAGGGAAGTCCCTCCAGCAGCTTTAAATAAGGACAGGGGCAGGGTTAGGAGTCTGCTGCAGCTATAGAGACAAGAGTCGCTGGTGCCTTTGATCTGGGTGGAAGCCGTGGGGGCAGTGAGAAGGGCTCAGATTCTGGGCATGAGCTGAAGGCAGAGCCAACAGGACTTGCAGATGGACTCGATGTTGGGTCTGAGAGAGAAGAGGAGTGGTGCTGCTGTGAGGTTCTCGGCTGGCACAGCTGGACCTTGCTGGTCCCAGGAAATCTTATCCCAAGTTCTCAGAACTATTCTCTAAATGCTTGGCCTAGATGCTCTAAACAGAACTCCTCAGAGTTTGGAGTGGGTTCCAGTAGAGTTTGTCAGAGGATTCATTCTCCCCCGTCCTATCCACACTTCGGGGATGAATTTGGGCATGTTAACAGTGTCCTGTTGTTTAAAAATGCTTGTATTAATTGAACCATAAAATTAAAGCATTCTTCTGAGGATGTTTAAGCCTTTTACAACACCTGAGTCTTTTCTATCATATTTAACCTACTGAAACACGTCTCCAATCCTTTCTTGTGCCAGGTCCGCTCCACGGTGAGTGACTTTGCTGTTTTCCTCACTATCTTCACAATGGTGATTGTTGATTTTTTGATTGGAATCCCATCACCAAAGCTTCAAGTTCCCAGTGTGTTCAAGGTAAACAGATCTCAGGCTACTTGATGCCCTTACGGAGTTTCATAGAATCTGGTCCCAAGTTATTTCAGAGGCCTTTCCCCATCCTGATCATGAATTGTGTAGTCCTCTAAACCTGAACGTTGCTCTCCTGCCTCACCATTCAGAAAAGCAAACTCCTCAGGCTTGGCCGAGTTCAAGTCAGAAAAGTCAGAACATCTAACGTTGTTTAATGAGTGAAAATTATTATTTATTTTCATTAATGCTACTTATTGTTTTTAATATGTGAAGATTTAAAACAATGGAATATGTGTATTTACATAAATATATGCCAGAGACTGTGGAAATATGAGTCTCTGGAACACGTCCGGTTAACAGCACTTCACTGAGCATCAGCTGTATAAGGGTATCAGGAAGGATGAAAAGGCTCTTTGCCGGCCTCGGTCCCGCCCCTCAGGAATCTTGCCCTACGAGGAGGTGAGCTGGCCCAGGAGCTTCATTCTCAGTCTAGGGCCCCCACCAGACTAATCGTGACATCACTTCAACCCTCATCCATTGTTTGTATATCTCTCTATAATCTATACTGTTTATCCAAAAACCAATACAAAAAAGTAAAACAAATGATCAAAACATGGGGACTCCAAATCTATTTCAATTTGGGGGCACTAACTGAGTAAACTGAGAAGATGGAAGAGCTGAGCTCAGTTCCGTAGGTCCCCGCAGGGTGGAGAGGAGAGAAAACCTGGGCGTCCTCAGGGACCAGAGAGGAACCAGGAGAGGAGAGAATGGGGGAGGCTGGGGAGGAGGAGGGAACTGGAACGTAGGCCTTTATCTTGTAAACACCCGGCACAGTTGGCCTTGTCTTCCCTTTCTCTCTCTCGCTCTCTCTGAAGTAGGCCTGGTTAAAAATACCTTTTTCCATATTGCTTGAAAATTTTAAATTTTATTTTGTTGAATTCACTGAAATGCCACCAGTTAGAAATTGATGGATTAAAAAACACCCTCTTTAAAAATATATACGTCCTAGAATATGGCATTCTCACCTTTGTGTGAACGAGTGCAGTCAGCTTTTTCTCTAATACCTGGCTGAGGTTGACCCTGCGGGAGGAATGGATTTTGTGTAAAAATAACTAATCTGGGAGCATTAAGAAGTCCCTGGAAATGTTCCCTGATGGGTAGGCTTAAGACAGTCAGAAGACACTGAATTTCTGGGACATCTGGGAAGAAGGCCTCTGCGAGGTAGGAGAGACGAGAGGGGAGATGGGAGAATGTCAAAGAAAGTGTTCCTCATTGGCAGGCCTCACTTTCAGGAAGCAGAGAAGAAATTTTCTTCCTTCTTCTCTTCCCTATTACACCACATGGCCGCCAGTGGCCAAGACCCAATCTGAAGGCTAGTACTAGTACTGATGGGGTAATGTCAGTCAGGGTTTAATAAGTTTTTGTGTTGACCTAACAATTTACCTACCACTTAGAACATTGTTACTAAGGAAACACAGATTCTGTAAACTTTCGGAACCTAAGCTATTCATAATTTGGGACTTGGTGACATTATTGAAGAGTGTTTGAATCCTAGAGTCATAACCCATATGGAACCAAATACTTTGGATGTGATAGTCTTTGCTTTGTTCATTGAGTTTTGGTGAATTCTGGGCCCATTTGTACCCCTGGCCTTTTATCCTCCATCACTACTCGCCAAACAAAGTGAACTTTTCTTCCTCAGAGTACCTTAGCATTTTTTTGAGATCTAGGAGAGTTTAGGAATTTTACAAACACCCAAATAAGGTTGATGAACAGTAGTCTTACAGGGACATCAGAGAGAGTCCTAGATCACACAAGTCCCCAAGCTCAGCAGTCTTGGGCTCCTTTCTCAAGTCTCTAGTGCCTGGACCCCTGTTTCACTGCTGATGGGAGGAGGTCCTTGGACCAGTCCCCTGAAATTCCATGTAACTGGTTCTATGTTGCCTTTATTTGTTCTGTAGACATACATTATACGGCTTCTGGAGGGGAGCAGTGAGGAGGATAATCAAAGTTATTTATATTTGTCTTTGGAAGTCATTAAGTTCTTTTTTGACAACAGATTTTGTTGTTAATTATATTTTACTTGGGCTAATGTTGAGATAAAGTCACTTTTTCTGTACACAGGGGTTTGGAGAGTAGGGGAAGGAAGTGAAGTAGTAATGAATATTCCATAAGAAGTTGACAGTTGGGGACCGAGTCTTTCAAAAGGGGATTTGGAACAAGGCCATAGATTTCCTGTGTTTCATGCTTTTTTTTTTTTTTTTTTTTTTTAATAAGGATTCTCATTCAGGAATAGAAAGAATTGTGCTTGTTGTGATTCAGTTTGATCTGTTTTGCCCTAATGACTATAGTTAACTTGAAATACAGAAATCTTGTTTTTTCCCTTTAGCCAACACGGGATGATCGAGGCTGGATTATTAGTCCCATTGGCCCCAATCCCTGGTGGACTGTGATAGCTGCAATTATCCCAGCTCTTCTCTGCACTATCTTGATATTCATGGACCAGCAGATCACAGCTGTCATCATTAACAGGAAGGAACACAAGCTCAAGGTAACAAGAAGTTCTGACCTAGGACTCATAACGGCAGCCTATTATATTTTTTAAAAATTTAGGGTAAGCCTGTTTAGGTCAGGAACTGTAGAACCTGGATAAAATCAGTCATGGGAGGAGCTCATATGGGGTTTCCAGGGGTTTCCAATCCCTCCATTAATGACAAAGATTGGTTTGGAGATGAAACTAGGGTAGAGCATGATTGTATGATGTGAAGGAAGCTTGGAGTCCATTACTCTTCTCTCAAACCTGTGAGGGAGGTGGGTGGGCAGAATTCCTGGTGGTCCCCACGTAGCCACATGGTCTGGGTCGGGCTTAGGTTCCTGATGTTCAGGTCAGGGCTTGGGCCGCTGTTTCCCAGAAACAGGTATTCTCTCATTGATGTCCATTATCGAGGTTTCCAGACTGAACCTTGAGCCCAAGGATTCTGGGAGGTAGGGTTGGTGCCAGTACATTTATTAGTGAGAGGCTTCATGCCTCATCTCTATTCCTTTCTTCCCTAGAGTAGGCAGCATCCGTATTTGGCAAGGAATGGGGAGGGTTTGTGGGAACCTGTTTATCTCCGACTCCTGTAGGGTCTACCCTCTAGAATGGTCAAGATGTGGCTTGGTCTCTGCTTACTCTGTCAAGAAAGGATGAATCTTTGGATATGTGAGACTCAGGGTGAGATCTGGGGGCACTTGAATAAAAATCGGATATTGGCATGTGTAAGACCAGCTAAGGTTTCTCTTTCTTCTCTGTTCCCTCCACACCAGGAGGGGCTGGAAGACTCTGCTGGAATCTCTGGACCCCTTCCTTCTTATCCATACACTCCTTCCTGCTTTGGGCCTGAGACTCTTAGCTCACTGTCCTATGTCCCACTACAGCCAGCCCACTGATGGTGACGGAGACTCTGTTTCCCCACAGAAAGGATGTGGCTACCACCTGGACCTGCTGATGGTGGCCGTCATGCTGGGTGTCTGCTCCGTCATGGGCCTGCCCTGGTTTGTGGCTGCAACTGTCCTGTCCATCACACATGTGAACAGCCTCAAACTGGAATCTGAGTGCTCTGCCCCTGGAGAACAGCCCAAATTCTTGGGTATCCGAGAACAGAGAGTAACAGGCCTTATGATCTTTGTGCTGATGGGCTGCTCAGTCTTCATGACAGCTATATTAAAGGTAACCGTTCATTCATTCATTAGGTAAATACTGAGTGCCTGATTTGTGCCAGGAATTCTGTTAGGTGCTGGGAATACAGCACTACGGCAAACAGATACACGTACAAATACCTGCCCTGAAGGAATTTATTCTAGTGGTATAAGACAGATAAGATGTAGTTAAGAAAGTTAGTTAAGAAAGCAAACACGGTAATTACAGAATATGATGTGTGATAAAAGGAAATATATGGTACTCTCTGTAGTACTATAGAGAATTAAGGGGAGATGTTTTAGTTACTATGGTCAGAGAAGGCCTCTCTAAGGAGATGGTATTTGAGATGAGATGGAGCCAGCCATGCCATGGGTGGTGGGAGAGGGCGTGGGGGAAGGGAGAAAAGCAGTCTAGACAGGCCCTGAGGAGGGAAATGGTGATATGTGTTCTAGGAGATACCAGGGCTCAAGGGTGTTGAGTTAAGGCAAGAGCATTGAGATGAGATTGAAGAGTGGGCAGGGGCAGATCACGCAGGGCCTCGCTGACACTGGTAAAGGTAACCTTTGAAGGGTTTTAACAGGAGAGGGACATGATCCATTTAGGATTTTAAAAAGATCTCTCTGGCTGATATCTAGAGAATATGCTTTTAGGGTTGAGGAAAAATAGAGGCAGAGAGACTGGTGAGTCTATTATAGGTGAGAGAGGATGGTGGCTTGGATGAGGAAGTTGGTAGTAGGGATGCATAGATATCTCAGAGGAGATCCAAAGGTCCTGCTGGTCGACTGGATATGGAATGGGGTGAGGAAAATGGAAGCATCAAAATGCCTGCTAGGTTTCTGACTTGACCATCTGTGTGGAGAGTGATGGCATTTAAGAGGGAGAAGACTGTTATGAAGGAGGAAGTGATTTTATAAGGGGTGGGCGTGGTCAGATTTGAGTGAGATGTCTGGGAGGCATCTGAGTGAAGAGGCTAGAGGAGGCTTCTGGGCTAAAAATATAAATGTGGGAGTCAACAGCACATCGGTGGTATTGAAAGCCAAAAGAGTGGATGAGGGAGAAAGGTAGATATAAAAGAGGAGGACTAGAGAGAAGAGCAGAGTCTAAGGAGAGCCGATATTTCGAAGTTGGGTAGAGGAGGAGATAGCAACAGAGGCTCAGAGGAGCTGCTGGCGGCGGAGGAGGGACACCAGCAGGCTGTGATGTCAGGGAAGCCAAGCAAGGGGAGTGATTGGTCAGAAGCTGTCTGGAAAGATGAAGACTAAATCCAGGCCATTGGGTTTGGCAACATGGAGGCCTAACGGGACTTGACAAGAGCAGATTCATTGGAACAATAGAGCAGAAGCCGAATGACGGGCCGGAGAGTAAATAGGTGGTGAGGAAGTAAAGGGCATGTGGGCAGACAACTCTTTCAAGAGGTTTTTTTCTGTGAAGTGGAACAGAAAAATGGGCAGTGGCTGGTGTGACATGTGGGGTGAAAAGAGGATTTTTGGACAGATGGAGCCACCTTGAAAATGAGAAAAAAATTTTTTTTGTGGGTGTAAGACCTGCATCTGGGAAAAATAGAATCAAAAGGAAAGCTCTATCTGCAAGCCCCAACCATTCCGGAGCACTTACTTATCTCCTTTGCTTCCTTCTCCTTCTTTTTGTTGAATTGTCAACCACCTCAGCCTGCACTGCAAATGCTATTTAAGGGTGAGAAGTGGGAGAGGAGGGAAAGGATTCTGAACCATCTTCCTGTCCCCTTACCTTCCACTTAATCTTGCCACCTCTCCTCATGGCCCTGCCCCCTTCTACTCTCTGTCCCCAGCCCTAGGTGCCTCTGGTCCAGGTGCCATCTGCAGGAGCCCAAAGGTCGCTGCTCCTCTGGGAATGTAACCATGAAGGCCTGGTGGTGGGCACTGCCTGGCCTTCCTGTAACTGTCTCAGGGGGATTCTTTTAGGAAACCATTCAATAGTTCTTCCAACCAGGTTAGCACCAAATTGAGATGTCTACTCACTCTAGAGCTGGAGCAACGTAAAATCCAATGGGGATTTTCTGGTTCAAAGAAGAATTACGTTTGAGAATGTTCTTTAGCCTCAGAATAAAAGCAAGTCGAGTTGAGTCTTTGCAAAAAGACTTTCCTTGCCTTGGTTCCATAGGCCTCATTACTCTACCTCATAGAGTTGCTCTGAAAATTACCTAGATTGATATAATGTGGTAAGTATGTATAGTCAAGTGCAGTAGAGTAATGTTGATATTTCTCCCCAAATTATTCCTTCTCTGTTAAGATAACCTCCCTACTCCTGCCCTCAAGTCTCTGGTTAGTAAAAAAGCAAATGTTATTAGTCTATATTAAAATACACCAAATCCCTGAGGAGATGATTCTGCGATTAGAAAAGATTTAAAACGTTTCAGTTCCGTAAAAGAGATGTGTGTGTGTGTGCGTGTGCGTGTGTGTGCGTGTGCGTGTGTGTGTGTGTGCGCGCCCATTTCCCTGGAGGAGGAAGAGCCAGATGGGGAGAAGAAGATGTGAGACCTATGATTTAACCAGGACCAAATTACGCTTACGTGTAATCATTTCATTTCCGAACAAAATGATATTTTATCATTGTCAGCGTCTGTTTTTGCTTCTACTTCTAAGTCACGTAAAGGCAGCAGAAACGAATGCAGCATCTATGCAGTGATTTTGTGACTTGGCTTCGTTCTTGGAGATTTGGAAGTTTATATAATCTTGAGTGTGCTATGATACCAAATTTAATTTCTGGCCTTTCTGCCCTTTCGTCTTCAGTTTATCCCGATGCCGGTACTCTACGGAGTTTTCCTCTACATGGGAGTGTCTTCACTACAGGGAATTCAGGTATTGCATGGTTCAGCCAGGCAGTGTCTTCTCTTGGTGAGCTCACCTGTCCTGACCAGGGAAAGACAGCCTCCCTAGGGGAGCACAAAGCAGTTCTTGAGAAACCGTTTCCTAGTCTTGCTGCTTCAGCTATTTTAGACATTTCTTTGGGCACTGGGCAAAATAGGGTCATGTTGGCATGAGTGCACAGAGACTTTCAGGGTGGCCTGATTCAACGTCATGGTTCCAGTCGTTCGTCAGTTATTCAACAGACAATCATCAGGCACGTATTAAACACATTTTGTCAGATGCTGGTAAACTTAGGTCTGAAAGGTTGGTCAAGAATTAAACTGGCTTCCACACATGGACAACACTAGGTTTAGTGCCAGGCTAAAGTGTGAGGCAGGGGGGCGGGTTTAACTGGGGGTACATTGGTGAAGAGATTGGGGAGTCGTGGGAGCTGCTCCAGGTAAGCAGGTATTACTTCCTGTCACACTCTGCCTTCTCCCATATATCAACTCATTCCTCTGAGTCCTTTGAACAGAGAGAATCAGGAGGTAACTTGGGTACCCAGATAATTTGATAATTTAGCCACTTCTTATACTGGTGGCTCGTTCCTCTTTGTTATTTTACAATGTCTGGTGGTCACTGTTGTGCACTGAGTTCTCATGTGACTTTGGGCAGGTTATTTATTTATTTAAAATTAATTTTTATTGGAGTAGAGTTGCTTTACAATGTTGTGTTAGTTTCTGCTGTACAGCAAAGTGAATCAGCTATATGTATAAATATATCCACTCTTTTTTAGATTTCCTTCCCATTTAGGTCATCCCAGATCACTGAGTAGAGTTCCCTGTGCTCTACAGTAGGTTCTCATTAGTTATCTGTTTTATACGTAGTAGTGCATATATGTCAATCCCAATCTCCCATTTCATCCTACCCCGCCACCCCTGGTAACCATAAGTTTGTTCTCTACATCTGTGACTCTATTTCTGCTTTGGAAATAAGTTCATCTATACCATTTTTCTAGATTCCATATATAAGCGATATTATACAATATTTGTTTTTCTCTTTCTGACTTACTTCACTCTGTGTGACAGTCTCTAGGTCCATCCACATCTCTGCCAATGGCACTGTTTTGTTCCTTTTTATGGCTGAGTAATATTCCATTGTATATATATACCACATCTTCTTTATCCATTCCTCTGTCAATGGACATTTAGGATGCTTCCATGTCCTGGCTGTTGTAAATAGTGCTGCAATGAACATCGGGGTGCATGCATCCTTTTGAATTATGGTTTTCTCCAGATATATGCCTAGGAGTAGGATTGCTCGGTCACATGGTAGCTCTATTTTTAGTTGTTTTTTTTTTCTGGTATGCGGGCCTCTCACTGTTGTGGCCTCTCCTGTTGCAGAGCCTAGGCTCCGGACACGCAGGCTCCGGACACGCAGGCCCAGCGGCCATGGCTCACGGGCCCAGCCGCGCCGTGGCATGTGGGATCCTCCTGGACCAGGGCATGAACCCGTGTCCCCTGCATCGGCAGGCGGACTCAACCACTGCGCCACCAGGGAAGCCCTATTGTTTTTAGATTTTTTGATGACGGCCATTCTGACCGGTGTGAGGTGATACCTCATTGTAGGTTTGATTTGCATTTCTCTAATAATTTGTGATGTTGAGCATTTTTTCATGTGCCTCTTGGCCATCTATATGTCTTCTTTGGTGAAATCTCTATTTAGGTCTTCCGCCCATTTTTTGATTGGGTTGTTTGTTTTTTTGATATTGAGCTGCATGAGCTATTTGTATATTTTGGAGATTAATCCCTTCTCAGTCGCTTCATTTGCAAATATTTTCTCTCATTTTGAGGGTTATCTTTTCGTTTTGTTTATAGTTTCCTTTGCTGTGCAAAAGCTTTTAATTAGGTCCCATTTATTTATTTTTGTTTTTATTTTCATTACTCTAGGTGGTGGATTGAAAAAGATCTTGCTGTGATTTATGTCAAAGAGTGTTCTGCCTATAATTTCCTCTAAGAGCTTTATAGTATGTGGCCTTACATTTAGGTCTTTAATCCATTTTGAGTTTATTTTTGTGTATGGTGTCAGGGAGTGTTCTAATTTCATTCTTTTATATGTAGCTGTCCAGTTTTCCCAGCACCACTTATGAAGAGACTGTCTTTTCTCTATTGTATACTCTTGCCTCCTTTGTCACGGATTAGGTGGCCACAGGTGCGTGGGTTTATCTCTGGACTTTCTATCCTGTTCTGTCTGATCTATATTTCTATTTTTTGTGCCAGTACAGTACTGTCTTGTTCATTGTAGCTTTGTAGTATAGTCTGAAGTCAGGGAGCCTGATTCCTCCAACTCCTGGGCAGGTTATTTAATCTCTCTGGGTCTCTGTTTTCCTTTTTATAATATAAGATGGTCATTTTTTTCTATATCCAGAATGTTATGAGATTTCATTTTTTTAAAATAAATTTATTTATTTATTTATTCTTGGCTGAGTTGTGTCTTTGTTGCTGTGTGCAGGCTTCTCATTGTGGTGGCTTCTCTTGTTGTGGAGCACAGGTTCTAGGCAGGTGGGCTTCAGTGGTTGCGGCTTGTGGGCTCTAGAGCGCAGGCTCAGTAGTTGTGGCACATGGGGTTAGTTGCTCCGCAGCATGTGGGATCTTCCTGGACCAGGGCTTGACCCTGTGTCCCCTACATTGGCAGTGGATTCTTAACCACTGCGCCACCAGGGAAGCCCCATGAGATTTCATTTTATCTTTTTACTTTTTAAAAAATATATATATATTTTGAACATTTTATTTATTTATTTGGTTGCACCAAGTCTTAGTTGTGGCAGGTGGGCTCCTTAGTTGTAGCTTACCGGCTCCTTAGTTGAGGCACGTGGGCTCCTCAGTTGTGGCACACAGACTTTTTAGTTGCGGCATGCATGTGAGATATAGTTCCCTGGCCAGGGATCAAACCTGGGTCCCCTGCATTGGGAGTGCAGAGTCTTAACCACTGTGCCACCAGGGAAGTCCCTATCTTTTTACTTTAAATAATCAGTAAAAAGCTCCAAACTCCTCAAAGAACAAATAAGAGATTTGGTCTTTTAAGCAGAAAGATACCACTGCTTATTTTGTTTTCAACACTCCCTGAGAAAGATCTCTCTCAGGAGCTAGAGTGTGGGAGAGGAGAGAGAAAGCTAAACCCAGAATTAGAAGAGATAGGTTCAGATTTTGACTCTGTCACTTACCAACCTTGGTCAAATTACCTGTTCTCTTTGAGATTCAGTTTCCCCTTCTGTCAGGTAGAAACGGTATTACCCACCTTTCGGAGCAGGTGATATTAAGAGATATGAATGGGATTAACGAGGCCCAGAGAAACCACCTGAAAATAAATGCCAGTTCCCTCCTTTCAGTTCTTTGATCGTCTGAAGCTCTTTGGGATGCCTGCAAAGCACCAGCCAGACTTCATCTACCTTCGGCACGTGCCGCTGCGCAAAGTGCACCTCTTCACCCTCATCCAGCTGACCTGCCTCATCCTGCTTTGGGTCATCAAGGCATCTCCAGCTGCCATTGTCTTTCCAATGATGGTGAGTTTAAAAGGTATTATTCTTTATTTTAAAAAATAGTGATAAAATATACATAACGTAAAACTTCCCATCTTCACTATATTTAAGTGTACAGCTCAGTGGCATTAAGTACATTCACAGTGTTTGCGTAGCCATCACCACCATCCACCTCCAGAAGGTCTTTCATCTTGCAGAACTGACACTCTGTACCGATGAAACAATAACTCCCCATTTCTCCCTCCCCTCAGTCCCTGGAAACCACCATTCTAGTTTCTGTCTCTGTGAATTTGACTCCTCTAGTTACCTCATGTGAGTGGAATTGCAGTATTTTTCCTTTTGTGACTGTCTTGTTTCGCTTAGCATAACGTCTTCAAGGTTCATCCATGTTGTGGCATGGTGGGGTTTTTTGGATAACAGCCATCCTAATGGGTGTGAGTTGGTATCTCATTGTGGTTTTGATTTCCCTAATAATTAGTGATGTTGAGCATCTTTTCATGTGCTTATTGGCTATTTGTATATCATCTTCGGAGAAATGTCTATTCAAGTCCTTTGCCCATTTTAAAATAAAGTGGTATGTTTTTTTGTTGTTGAGTTTTAGGAGTTCTCTATATATTCTGGATATTAATCCTTTATTGATGGTGAGTTTTTGTTTTTTGGTTGGTCTTTGCAGGAGCAGCATTATTTTGAGGTCCTTGAGGTGTGGAAGCATGTGTGTCGTAGTTTACTATGTTTACTTTCAAGGCTACTAGTCTGCCTGTCTGTCTGTCTGAATTTCTTTCTCTCTCTCTGTCTTTCTCTCATATATCTGACATGGAGAGGACTCTTCATGTTTGCAGTAACTTGCATATTACCTCAAAGCAATATGGTTCCTATTTAGAATTTACTGCAATCAGAAGTGTCTATAGTGGTGGAAATGCACCATTTCAAGCCACTGGGAAAGAGGAAGAGGTTGGTCTAGCACTGATAAGTGACTGGGACATCCTTGCCTCTTTTCTAACTGAAGCAAGTGCTTTGGAAAGGAGACGAGGAAAGCTGAACTGTGTGGTTCAGCAACAGGTGACAACCTGTTTTCTAAAACTAGGGTGATGATGAAATTCTTGCCACCTGACCACCTCACTGTTCCATCTTGTCCTCTTGAGGCCTTCCTGTCTCTGGCTCACTCTGTGTCATGAGGATGCTGAGATTTCAGTGGACTCTTTGAAAGTTACCCAAAGGGTGGGCCTCAGAAGGGAAAAGCCAATGAGGGTAATGTCTGGTACTCATTTAGTTACTTTTGAACTCTGTCTTACTGGGAGAATATTCAAGGGTGAGGAATCTTCGGGGTCCTTTTCCCCTAATCTCCTAGATATATACCCTCCTGATGGGTGTCTCAATTTTGTCAGAATACATGTAGGGTTCTGCATTTGGGTGTTATGTTCAGGGCTTGAGTGTTTGGTTAAAGAAATAGCAAATTCCTGGCAACTCCTGGAAGGGATACTATGAATTTTGGCTTTATTGGGAAAATAGTCATTGAAATTAGGGAGAAATGAATTTAATTAGCCTGATTTGCCCCATGCCTGGTCCAGTCACCAAATTTAGCTGGTGAATACCAGTCAGTCCAGGCAGGTCATTCTGGGTTATTATTGGTTCTCCTTTGGCTGAAATGGCCCTCATGGGGAGAAAGTGGAGCAGCAGTTGAGATCCCTGGTCGTTTCCATGGAGGAAATTAGCTGTCAGATTTTAGGTGAGTCACTTTCTCTCCCTGGGCCTCAGTTTCCTCATTTATAAAATGAGTGTCAAGCCAGGCCAGAGGGCAGAGACAAAAATCGCTCGAGATCCATGCCGCAGGCATAAAGCAAGGATTTTGTGAGTAAATGTGTAGGCAGAGGATCAGAGGAAATCCAGACGGTCCTTCAAGGCCCTCTCACCCCCTGGTGACCCCTGGCCCCACCAAAGCCATCTCCTGCAGAGGTTCGCCACCCCCAGGCTGCCTGGTAGCCCTTCCTGCTGGCCTCAAGCCAGGGGAAGGCAGCTCTTAGGGCCATCTGCCGATGAAGGGTTCCTCTTTTCAATAAAGGAATTAAGTTAGTTCAGTTAGGGCATCAGTAAGTTGTAGGATTGTTATGATGAGAGTTAAATAAACTATTGTATAGAAAACACTTAACTTAGTATCTGGTTCAGAGAGCCTCGATAAAGGCAAATATTACGATTATTACGAGTTTGATTCTGCTTGACATGTTCTAGTCTGCTGTGAAAATAAGACTGCTTTTAAACTCCAGGGAGGAAATGAGCCCCCCTAATTCACTTTCTTTATTTTTCTTCAGGTTTTGGCCCTGGTCTTTGTCAGGAAAGTCATGGATCTCTGTTTCTCTAAGCGGGAGCTGAGCTGGTTAGATGATCTCATGCCGGAAAGCAAAAAGAAGAAGTTGGATGATGCCAAAAAGAAGGCCAAGGAGGAAGAGGTCATAGTTCTTGCACCAACTGCAGACTTTGGGGCAGCTTCAAATTACAGAACATAGGAAGGGCCACATGAAAAGTCAGCATGTCTCGAATCCCAAGGGTTATATTTAGGAGTGGGGAAGATTACTCCAAAGATATTCTTAGCAGATGTCTGTCCTTCATCGTCAGATTTGATAACCGGTTGTTTTCCCTCTGTTTGTCTACAGTCTACTCATCAGGTTCACACTTAGAGTATGAACATGGAATCCGCTCTTATTATCAGATCAAATGGTTCATGTTCTCCCAAAGGTCTAATTTGACAAGTATAAAAAACCTACTGTTTTCCAAGAGTATTTGTCACGTACCTAACTGCAGATGTTGCTGTGGTTCACAAAGATAACTTGCATAGGACTTTCTGTCCTTCCTCATTTCCCTCAGCACTTGGCATCTGCCATTCACACAATGGACCTTCAATCAATGGCCTATACGTGCAAAGAATGGATGTGTAGCAAAATGAAAATACCAGGCCAAGAATGAGCCTGAAAGTATTTCCAAATACAGTTAGTGCCTGAAATAGTGTCCTTTGAAATTCTTTTTTTTTTTTTTCTTTTGTGGTACGTGGGCCTCTCACTGTTGTGGCCTCTCCCGTTGCGGAGCACAGGCTCCGGACGCGCAGGCTCAGCGGCCATGGCTCACGGGTCCAGCCGCTCCGCGGCATGTGGGATCTTCCCGGACCAGGGCATGAACCCGTGTCCTCTGCATCGGCAGGCGGACTCTCAACCACTGTGCCACCAGGGAAGCCCCCCCTCCTGTCTTTTTTGTCTTTGACATACAGGGTTTCCTGCCATTTAGATTTTACTAAATATAACTTTTGGTATCATTTAACATGTTCTCTGTCTCCTATGTTTCCAGTAAATTGGTGGTTGTATCTAAAGGTTTACTCAGATTCAGGTTCTTTTTTTTTTTGTTTTAAATACTATTCCATAGGTACAGATATTGGGTTGTCTCTCTTTTTGTGGTGAGACAGATCTATGAAAGAACATAATTATACTTACTTATAATAAATGGAGAGAAAATCAGGTAGAAATTATGGTGATTGAAAAATGGGCTGGTGTAGACTTTTGGTTTCATTTGATCCAAGATAAAGTAATGTCTCCTTTTCTTGCAGGAGGCTGAGAAAATGTTAGAAATGGGGGGAGACAAGTTCCCCTTAGAGAGCAGGAAGTTACTAAGTAGTCCTGGAAAGAACAACAGTTTCAGGTAAAACTCCCCCAGCCCCAAGGAGCTGACTGTTTTGGTGGTTGTGTAAATGTTCTGGCTCTGTGATGGGGGCTGTGTCACAAATGCAGCTGCTGGTATAAACAGCCAAACATTCAGCCTCCCGGTTCCAGCCTGTGAAAACACCTTTTCTTTCCCGGTTTTCTGAGGGCCTGCCATGCATTGGGCACTATGCCAGGTGCTGGGAATCACAGGAGGACAGAGCTACGGGAGCCCATGTGCTCCCCAAACCAGTGGTCCTTCTGTCTCTCTCTGCCACCTTCCAAAGGTGAACAGGATGTAGTCTTTGCTTCTCAGCCTGGTGGGCATGAAATTCCCATGCTTAGGCAAGCCGTTGGGGGCTGGGCAGAGACAGCCCCTTCCAGCTTGGCTCATGGTGGCTGCAGTCCTGGGAGCCAAGGGGGAACCGAACTGGGATTCCCCAAATTCCTTACTTCTGCCAGCGATCTTAGCCCTTTGGTGTATTAAACCTGTTGCTCACCACAAATCACAGGAAGCTAAACTGGTCCATTTGCGGTTTCATTCCTGGTGTTTTGTTTCCGCTTTGGAAGAGGAACACAGAAGCTGAAAGAAGCTCAGAGGTGGAGAGGGTACAGAAAAGGAAGAGAGAGGGGATCTGGGTTATCTAGATGCTAGATAATTTACTGCTGAGTTATTGAATTGATTGTGGTTTATACTGAGGGGGAGATGAGGAAAGTCTTTTCTTTGGTTATTTAGTTATTTATGACAACTAAAAATAGTATATATTTAAGGTGTGCAACATTATATATATATATGTGTAAAATGATTACTACAATTAAACTAACAACATACCCATCACTTACTATACTTACCATTCTTTTTTGTGTGTAGTGAGAACACTTGAGATCTACTTTCTTAGCAAATTTCAAGTGTACAATACATTATTATTAACTATAGTCACCATGCCTTACATTGTCTGCAGAACTTACTCATAACTGAAAGTTTGTACCCTTTGATCAATAGCTCCCCTTTTCTCCCACCCCCCAGCCTCTGGTAGCCACCATTCTCCTCTCCGTTGCTATGAGTTCAATTTTTTTTAACTTACCCCAAAGAAGTGGAATCTTTGATCTTTAAGAAACTTTCTATAAGTTGTCAGGGAAGGAGCCATAGGCTTTGCATTCTCTACGGCAAGACAGGAATCATGTTCCTTCTCTAGCAGATGCTGCCTCCCCTCTTGGCCTTTTAGAAGGAGAGTCTGGCATGTGGAAAAGTTTAGAGTACTGGCGGGGGCGGTGGGGGGGGGGTGGGTCTAGGAGACCAAGGACTGGATTCAAGGTCTTGATTCTCCACTTACTGACGTCTGACCTTGGACAGTCTCTTAACCCTATGAGCTTTGGTTTCTACACGTTAAAAATGAGGACGTTAATAATCTCTGATACTGTGAGAGTTAAGATAATATATTGTAACAGTCCTTTGTAAACTCCAAATGGAAAAGATCTGGCCATGTAAACGAGAAAATAAACAGAGTGCTTAGCACCGTGCCTGGCACACAGCAAGCGCTCACTAAGTGGTAGCTCCTGATGTTGCCACTTCTGGCCTCATAGCGCTGTCACCAGCATCCCCAGAGGGGCCCTTCAAAGGAGAGCAGAACTGTGGGGGCAGGGCTGGCCGCTGGCCGGCACCCCTGCCCAGGCCTCAGCTCTGACTCACGGGCCACCTTGCTTCTCGACATTCCGACCATCTGGTTCCCAGTGCTCCCGAGAGCTGTGAGACAAGCTCCCTCACGCCTCATCTTTTCCCTTCTGGTGGGTAGTGGGTATCATAGACTGAGATGTAGACCTTATTTGTATGTCTGACATTGACTGTCCTAAGCATTGATTTCAGATGTGACCCCTCTGAGATTAATATATCTGATGAAATGCCTAAAACCACAGTCTGGAAAGCTCTCAGTATGAACTCTGGAAACACAAAGGAAAAGAGGTATAATTGCCGATTTTTATTTCTGACTTTTAAAACTAGCAGTCATGTTGAAAGTAAAATATGTTTTAGTTGTAAAGTTGAATTTATCCATGAATAGCACATGTAGCATTGTTGCTAACCCCACAGAATAGCTATAAACCTAAGAAAAGGAAAAATGTTTTCTAACCATTTGAGCAGATACGCTGGTTTGAGCTGCCCATTTACCCAGGCCCAAAGTCAGGATGGAATTATTTTGGAATGTAAATTTGCTTTATCTGTTTTGTTCCCTTAATCCTCTTTCTAGTTCCCATTTCAAAATCTGTAGAGCATCTCTTTGGTTCTTGCAACCACACAAACTGGAAAATCCTTAAAATATTTGGGTAGTGTTGATAGTATTGATACAGACTTTAACCTATTTAACTTATTCCGTAATGAGAATTATTGTCAAGGAAAGATTTTGAAATATTAAATTGTAACCGTTTTCTTATTTTGGAAACTAAATTCTGAGTATTGTTTGTCAGTAGCATAGATCAATTTTTAATCTGGTTAATGAAAAAAATGGAAAGACTTGAGGCATTTTTGCTTACATTGAAGTAGGCTGTGTACTCAAATTACATGAATAATTTGGTCCAAACACTAAGTCATCAGATAACCGAAGGTAAAATCTTAGGTCTTATTAAAGGCAACTTTTCTAGTTAAAAAAAAAAAAAAAAAAAGCAGTAGCCTAGGTTAGGAGACTTGGCTTAGCTGTTAATTCCATGTGTAACCTGGCAGACCACTGTTTCTGGTACTCGGTTTATTCAGTTGTGAAATGGGGGTAATAATAACTGTCTCACTCATAAGGCTGCTCTGAGGAGAAACTGATGTGCTTTGGAAAGCCACAGCCACCAGTGGGTGGTAGTGATGGGCTATTTCATCAAATGGGTTAAAAGAAATCTGTACTGAATGTGAGTGAAATATAGAATCTTGTTTCCTTCAGAGGAAAATCCAGGCAGCTGTCGAAATGTATAACGCACACGGTTATTTTTAGTTGAGAACTAGTCTCCTTGTAAATGAACTTAAAATACAGCCAGATCGAAATTGTGTTGACATCTTCAAAGTATTGTGTTAAAATCAGGAATGAATCATGTGTTCCTTTTTCGTCTAATTGTAACACTTTTATTCAGTCTCTTCAACTAAAAGTCTTTGCTGGGATGGAGGATGTGGGCCGTGAGGTGCCACAGGGAAGTTCTGGTTACAGAGAAGATGACGAGTGTCTCAGAGAAGAAGCGAGCCCGAGTCTGGCCCTGTCCTTGGTCCTGTCGAAGCCACGCGAGCATTCAGTTATTGGTGGTGTGCGTCGGAGGGCACCGCCTGGTATGAGTGTGGAAGCAGAAGACCACCTCCCGTTGGTACTTCTCCTCTTCCTTCTCTTTCTCTTCAGAACTGCCACCACCGAAGACCCAGCTTCCCATTTGCCAGACATTTCCTCCGAAACCCTCTGCTGGCCTGCTGAGCCGTAGGGATCTATTCTGCCACTGAGGATTTCCTCGGTGAGGTCCCTCTTGCTCAAGGACAGGGTGAGGAAGTAGGAGGAGAGCAGAGAGGAAAAGGAAGCCCCTCCAGTCCCATAGTGGCCGCAGGCTCCTGGGCAGCCCCGGGCCTTGGTCTGGTTGCCTGCTCTGGGGGATGCTGGCGAGACCCAGAGGCCACCAGGAGGGTCTGCTCGTAGGAGGGTCAGCCCTGGGCCTTGGCAGTGCTCACCACCCCAGCCAGAAGATGCCTCTGGCCTGGTGCGTCTTCATCGCTCCCTAGCAGCAGTCTGCATAACTCAGCAAGAACCTTGGATGATGAAAGGGCCAAGGGGGACATTGAAGTTGCTTAGCTCAGACAGGGAAAGGCCTGGGGGAAAATCAGTGATGGCGAGTGAGGATGAACAGCTTCTCCTAACTCCACTGATAGGGTAAGAGAACAAGCTTCAGTGGCTACAGAAGGAATTAGTTTAGACACCAGGAAGGACTTCCTAGCCTGAAGATTTGTCATAGTGTCTGCTTTCTAGATATCTGGGAAAGGTTTGACTGTAGTCGTTTGTGAGTAGAAAAGGAGATAAGGTGTTCTTAATTGGCCATGTTGTGGAAACATCCATGTCCTGCTGCTGTCTCTTGAGGACACACTCTGATTCCATTCCTGGAGAGATCCAAGTGCTTACGTAATGTCTCCTTAGCTGCCTTAGTAGCAAACCATCACCAACTCAATGGACCAGACCACCTTCATCATCCTGGATTTTTTTGTTGACAGATGTTCTGACTTTCAGATGTAAAAAGCCACATTGGGAAATGAACTGTAAGTGGTGAAATTAATTTTGTTATTTAGTTTAAAACTATATTTATAGTTTCTGTCTCCTCTTCTCTTTTGCAATGAATATCGAGGGTTTGGGCTCCATTGTGTATAGACTTTCCCTTCCTTTGTGCACAGAATGTGACTAGCAAGCATGTCGGTACCCAGGGGATCTGATCAGTTCAGTTTCCCTCCTGGAAAATATTTGTACGGTGGGACCGTCCGTCGGTGTGCTCTCCTTTCATAGGTGAAGAGTTGGCTACGTTACTTTATTGAATTTTGCATTCCTTAGACTCATAAATATATTCAGGTAGTCTTACTCTAAGGACCTTTGATACTGAAGGAATCCTGCCTTTTTCCTATTTCCCTATCTCTTAGAGTCAGTCCTTTTAATACACAGATGATTTTCAAAATACTTAACAACTGGTACAGAATGGGCACCAACCACTCAGAACGGATGCCTGCTGTAAACAAGCAGTATGTATGGCCATGCCAGTGCCTATTGGCTGAACGTCACGGGGCTTTCAACTATTAAAATGACATTCCTTTGAATTGTGGGTATTGTTCCTGGCTTGTCTGATTTCTACTCACAAGGCTGTTTCAGGGACAGCCTCGGCATCCTTTCATATGCTGCAGACAGGAACAGGCATGCTTCTTTGAACTATATGGGCATTAAAATCTTTGAGAGCCAAAGCTTCACATTTTATCACTTTAGGATAAATGTAATATTGTACCCATCTACCTACCTAATTTAGAAAAATCATAAGGCAACCTGTCATTGGGAAAAGCTTTCCTGCTGACTTTCCCTGTCCCTCTCTGCTTCTGTGAGCTTTTTGCCTCCTTTTTCAACTTCTCTGTTCTCTGAGGACATCCACACACACCACCACCCCCACCGCTTTTCTTCCCCCATCTTGCCCCGCCCATCTTTTCCTGCCACTTCTGTATAGGGAGGGTGGTGACCGCTTCACCTGTTCCCCTGGCCTCGGCGTGGCGATGAGGAATACGGCAGGGAAGAGTCCATCATGCAACAGAACTACGTGGCAGAGTCACTCAGAAAAACCTCTCTACTCACACACTGACGTCTTGTGATGCCCTGTGCTGGCAGGCTTCCTGAGAGTGGGGAGCCGGTCTTTGTTAACTCTGTGTAGTACGCTTCCTGAGCCAGACCCTCCCAGCTTACCGCGCCTTCGGAACGTTAGCTACTTTGGAAGGCTGTGCCAGTCTTTTTAGGCTATTAGATTTTCTTCAAACAACAGCCAGCCTCGTTTGTGCTACATCTCAGTGGTAGGAACCATTCCCTACTCTTCCTCTCTTATCTTTCCCGAGTCCCACCCATCCCTCAGCCCCAGTCCTGGCTGCTTCCCTGCTCAGTGGCTGGTGACTATGGGTTGCAGAGTCAAGTGGGGGGTGGGGTGTTTAGGGTAGGAGACTGGGACTGGTGGTGGAGCATCAGCCACGTGTATGTACCTGTGTGTGTATGCACGTGTGTCTGCCAACAAGTGAGAGTGTATCCATGAGATTTCATTGCTGCTGCTAAACAACCTCGTGCACCTGAGCTGTGGGGACATCAAAAGAATATGGTCATTCTCCCTTCTAGCGCTTCCCCTCTCTAGTCTGATAGAATTGCCTGAGGGCAAATACAGGTAGATTAGTCTTAGAAAAAGGTGTTTAAGCTCAACATTAATGAGACACTGATTTAGGGGTAGAAAGCAGGTAGTTAGGTAATTCCCATGCCCAGGCTTGCTTGGGCCAGAGAAGTAGTCCACCTCTTTTCTGACAAGGGTAAATTCAGGAGGCGTTTGAGTGTTGGCAGGGCAATGCCTGATAGGCTAGCAGTGTAGAGGAGGAAGGGAGGGAGGCCGGAGATTTAAGAAAATGATGGTGAGTGGACTCTTGCTTCTAAACAGAAGAACTGGCATCACTAAGTGGGTGGGTTACGTCCTAGCCCATGACTTACGGAAGGGGTTGGTTTAGATAGGAGGTGAAGGCCAGCAGAAATATGCTGTGAAATTGCTCAGCACGTCTGGTTGCAGGAAATGCAGGCTAGTTCTCTGTAGCTGTATATGATTTCAAACTTCTGATAATGGGATTGTCAAGAGAGCTGGTCTTTACTGCACACAGCTCCTATCCCCCTTCTCCTTGTTGGTATAAATTTGCCTTTGGGGTAGAGAACCATATATTTTCAAAAGATGTTATAAATGTTGCTATTTCTATTTGTCTGAGATGTGTCTGGCTTTTAAATTAGTCATAAATGTTTGATAAAAATCTGGCATATGCTAAGTCTTAGGTTTTGTTGACATATCAGGCTGACAAGAGGTCAGACCTTCAGAGGTCTCTGGTTTGGGGAATCTGGTTTCCGGTCATTCAAAAAAACACAATTCCCAGTTCGACTTTATTTTCTACCTACTCAGTGCTCTAGTCTTCTCTCTTAATAGAGGAATCAGTAATTCTCCCTGCAGCTTCTCTGTCAACTTCAATGTCCACGTTTGGAGTCTCCACATTTTCCTGATGCGTAGGAGAAGGCTTGAGCCCGGGGCCCGTGGCTTTCATTTTAACCAGCGTCAGACATGCTATTAAGTATGTTCTCTCTGCTACTTAATCAGCTTCTCTAAGTGTCTTCTTTTGCTGGAGAGTTAGTGCCACCTTCTTACACCTTCCTCAGACTTCTCAGGTTCCCAAGCCATATCCTGGCAGGACATTCAACATGCATCGGATGTTCTCAGGCTTCTTGACTTTCTTTTGGTTGTAGCTGCCAGGACTCCTAAGGTAGAAATCCTTCCTGTCGGCCCTGACTGGCCAAATGAGACAGCGTCTAAGCTCTTTCCCCTTGTACTGACTCAGCTTTTTCACATACTCCTTCCCGTCCTTTCTGCCTTTTCCTCAGTCTGTCAAGTTTTCCTTGGAGGGAAGAAGTTCTTGGTCAGAGGTCCTAACCACCACGGCCAGTTAGGGCTGGTGAGAGGGGGAGGAGGCTGGACGGTTCTGGGGCTCCTCAAAAAGGTGAGACTTACGGTTATTTGCCTTATTT